AGTGTGGCATTTTAATTAAAAGCCCAGTGCAGTCAAAAACATGATTTTCCTCTGTTTTTATATACAGTATTTCCACACTATGAAGTTGGAATAATACTGTGAAATTGTGAAAATGATGATAATGTCGTTTTAGTGTAAGAGCTGTTTGAAAAGACCGCCTGTTTAGGCCTGCCTGGTGAAATCACGATGTGGTAAATTAGTTAATAGAGCAATATGAAAGTGTTCTAAACCTCTCTGCCTATCACGACTCAGGATAAGACCCAGATGCAGACAGTTCGAAATAGCAAAAGTTTATTTACAAAAACAGGGGGCAGGCAAACGACAGGTAGGCAGAGGTCAGTAATCCAGAGCAGAGTCCGAAAAGTACAGAAATGGCAGGCAGGCTCAGGGTCGGGGCAGGCAGAGGTCGGTAATCCAGAACAGTGTCACAAGGTACAGAACGGCAGGCAGGCTCAGGGTCAGGACAGGCAGAATGGCCAAAACTGGAAAAACTGGAAAACGGCCTAGAGCAAAACAGGAGTACAGGAAAACCGCTGGTAGGCTTGACGAGACAAAACGAACTGGCAACAGACAAACACAAAACACAGGTATAAATACACTGGGGATAATGAGGGGAGATGGGAGACACCTGGTGGAGGGTGGAGACAAGCAAAAAGATCAGGGTGTGACACTGCCGCTAACAGCTAGTTTTCAGTTTTCCCCTCCCCACTCAGACCCCTCCCAGACAATCCTTGCTCTTTGTTAAAAAGCTATTTTAGTTTTTAAAAATACCATTTTAATTAAAAACAATTACAGCAAGGTACATATTTATTACCCAGAAATGATTTGATATTGAGATCAAAACTGCTGCATTGGACCTTTAACTGACAAACTGGATCCCCCTACCTTACTAATATGTCTAGTGGGAGACAGTGGCGGAAGGCAGCGGTTGGTGTGTGTGTGTGTGTGTGTGTGTGTGTGTGTGTGTGTGTGTGTGTGTGTGTGTCTTAGTGAGTAGACTATCCAGAGGATGGATTGCGCTGCAGACTTTCTGCAGGACACTTTTGATCCAGTATTTCAAACATGCTAAAAAACTGAGGAATAGGCTGTGGAGCACAATAACTATTATAGATTCAGTTCAATAAGTGGGCATTGGAATACATAATATAACTCTTTATCCTTCAAAGACTGAGGCATAGGAAACTATAATGTGTATTAATTCCCTCCCAACTATTTGGCTTATTTGACAAAAATAACGTATTCCTTCCGGTTTTAATGACCATTGTAGCCTTGAGACACAGTGCTGTATCCATAGAACTTTCTAAGTTGTACAGTGTCATTGCGTAGATAGTCACATTTGCTTGATGAACGCTTCCAGGGACAGTCTTTTCCCCCTCTTCCTTCTGGAAGGTTTAAAAGCCGGAGAAACCATTAACTTTTCATACCATCCGCGCTCCTCTTCCCTCCCATTCCGCAGAGCTCTTCCTCCCTCTCTCTCCCACATGCTAGAATATTCTCACACCTCCTCTCCACCCGCTACTTGGGAAAGTATACAAATGTGTTTGTGTTTGTTTAGTTCTTTGTGTGAAGTATCGAGGGGAGGGGAGGCATGTTGGACAGACTACTGTAGTGGAAAGTACTATCTGCTCTTTCTCTGATGCAGTTGTCTCTTTTGTACAGAGTGCCCCTAGAGCCACAGAACTCGGACCTCACATAGCAGTCCCACAGAGCATGAGTAATGCAGTCTGACCAGGGCTAAGAAAAGTTCTATTGAATTTGTATGGGGTTGAAGGGGTGGAGGGGGTGGGATGAGTGCTGGTGGGTTATGTGTAGGTCATGTCATATGATTTGGACTTATCAACTCCTAAAATATAATACAGTTATTGTATTTATAGTAATGTTATTAAGTTGTCTCCTTGTATTTGTTAGTTCATTAATTTCACGTGTTGTAATTTTGTGCTATTTTTGAGAGCACATAAGCAGTTGCGAGGCTCGTATTATGAACTTCATTATGTGTGACAAGGACGCAAGATTTTGACGCAAGAGCGGCCTACCCCCTCAACATCCACAGTGAATGAAGGTACTATTCCGGATCCAGTAATTAACTATCATTCAGGGGCATATCCCTTTTCAAGTAATCACTCATTGCAATAAGAATTTCAGTTCCATTTAAGGCGAGATAACCGATGAGCATGCAATGCAAATCAGTGAACATTTCTAATTAAGCCTTGCTTACTCCCTCTCGCCTGGCCCTTTGTGAGTACACACAATGTTGTTTCTCCACCAGCAATGAAAAGGTAGTTTTTTTCATCACTAGTGTGCAGATGTAAAGCTGTTTTGTGTTGCTCAAAATATGCTTAACAGTTAGGAATGAAATGTGTTGTGTTAAGGCTCAGATAAACCAGTGACGTTTGCTGGTCGAGAGTACTTAGCACCTCTGAACGTAATTTGGTAATCGAGTGTGCGCCAAATGTACATGTAGAATCGCATGAAAATTGTAGGCAGTCAGAACGATCGGCATAGGATCATCGTAATGAGTGCAGAGAGAAGCTAGAACTTATACAGATGCACACTCACTAACATGACTTTGCACAACTAAAGTAGTCTCTCTTGCCTGCATATTGCTCTTGGACATTTATCTCAGGAAGGTTTCCTGACCAAATGACCTGACCAGGAAAATGTCTTGCCACTAACTAGGGCCCAGAGTTTTTTTCCAGTCTGTTCACGTGGTCAGGATTAACTCCTGTCCCTTAACCATATTTTGATGACCTAATATCCAAGATGCATTATCTCTTGTATGAATACTGATGCTTTAATCAGTTCCTTAGCAGTAAGAAAAAGTGATTTGTCCAAATCGCTAGCCTTCCTGCCATGATCAAACACCACCACCCTCTTGCCACCATTACACTGCTTCCCGTCCTCTTTCTCCCTGGCCAATCCGTTTTTGTTAGACTGGGCGAAACTACGATCATTCATCAATATTTCCAAACTGATACGGCGTGTCTTAAAGACATCAAACAAGGTTAATGCTGTCTTTAAACACTCCCTGACTTCCCCTGTATGTCCAAACAGAGCAGGTATTTGTCGGAATACCACCCAAATTGTTAGGATGAATTATAGCCAATGTTCGCTCTAAGCTGAGCGCAGCTCCCCTGGGACTGCTGCCCAGAAGAAATATCAGCCCGCACAGAGAACCAAGAGATTGAATGTCACTCAACTTTCTAGAGTTTTCCCCGTTAGTTAACACCACCAGTTTCCCTTTGCTGTGGGAATTGTGATCGAATCAACGCAATATTAGCCACTTTCAATGCAACATACCGAAACAAAACGAACTATGCATGAGATTTTGTTGTAGGCAGAACGCATCTGAGTAGGATTCTATTGCATTGACAGGCACGACTCAGGGCTGTACTCTACACAGACTGGTGCGCCATAACCAATCAGAGCTGCAGTAGGCCTATATGCAAATAGACCATTGTCCTATATGGATCTGTGCCATTCACTTTGTACTGGGCTGTTTTTACAGCGTGAGCGGTCATCGGTCTTGAGTAGATGCACTTGTTTTGAGATCAAAGCGAGAGCTACATGTAGCAATGTGTGCACATTTGTACATTTGTTCATATCCTTTGCTAGTTAGTGAGTTATTAGAACAGTTATAGATCATTTGCAGTCAGCAATGGGGAGTGATTGCTTCCTACAAGAGCACAAAACGTGTGCATTTCTAGACATCTTTGAAAAGCATTTTTTTTTTTGTCTTAAAGGGGCAATGTTGTATTTTGAGACAGGCTTGAATAAGCTAAGTAGACAATAGGCAGAGGGTAGCGTCATTTGCCTGATTCTCTGTAATAATGGAATGGGAATAATGATGCATTTTATTTTGTTAAGTGGTTTCTTCCATCAAACAACACAACAAAGATCAGTCATCTCCTTGTCTGAAGAACGATAGCTATGTCCATGTTCAAATGTTATGGGATGCATTTTCTCCATTGTTTTTGATAGTAGGCCACTCTGGTAGGCCTACATTAGGATCAAATAGCTTGACCACTGTTAAAATGAACTTAAAGTGGGTACAGCCTCAGTGTTCACCCACCAAGTGAAAGACTCAGACACGGAAATGGGCCTTTCCTGGACCGGGTGTCTAGTGTGAACAGAAACTTGGGTTTATTATTGCACCCTTCTCGACCTCTTGATTCATACTCTTAAATGGTCTGGCAGTTAGAACACTACCTGTGGCGAAGGCTCAATAGCTTGAAATGTTTTTGCCATTACGAACGGAGTTGAAGCTCCGCTCTCAGATCATTTTGAAGAGAATGTCTCAGGGCTATGTTTGGCTGGACGCTAAGCCAATGTCAAACAAACGGGTAATGAATGGAAACTTTTAGCACAAAAATAACAGAACCATTCCCTGAGGAGAATTTGGCAAAAAATATAAGAATTTCTTCCTTTCCACAAAGCTTTGAAAAGCCATATGGTCACAAAGTTATGAACTGATATACTTTCTTTCAAATCAAATCAGTTTAAAACCAGACTGACCTCTGAATGATTCCTGTAGTTTTGCCAAAATGGTGGCCATATTCTGTAACAGGTGCTCTAAAGCACATTTGCCCTGTTGTATGCCGCCTCTGCAATTTCTATAGAAAGGGTAGTTAAAAGGCAGTCCTAAATTGCACAGCCCTAATACATTTTACATTTACATTTTAGTCATTTAGCAGATGCTCTTATCCAGAGCGACTTACAGTTTTAGTGAGTGCATACATTTTTCATACATTTTTAATACAACAATAAAGGAAAAGAATGGGGACTCCGTTGAGCTAATAAGCATTGAGAAAGCAACATTTGATTTCGTAGCTAGCCACAGCAAAAAAGCTCTGTGCAGCAGCTGCCTCTATAACAACGGCGGCCATATTTCGGGTTAATATCCCATAATGCTCCACATCATCCCAACTTTGGATCCCGCCATGACCTCATTGGCAGATCAGACTATTACTTAATGTGAACTAGCTGGGGGGGGAGTGGTTAAAATGGATGCGATGAGGACAGGTGGAACCCTGTATAGATTAGAATAAAACCTTTACTAGCTGCAATGTTTTATTTGTCTGGCCCGCTTCAGACATTAAGGTAATGACAAAAAAAAAACATCACATTAAGCAGTACGAGCAATAAAGGACGCAAAAAGGCTACAGAGGAGGTGGTGAAGACCCTGCCATAAACCACCTGCTCTGTTAAAAAGTACTCAAGCCTCCCTTTTAAGATCCAGCATTAAAAATCCACTGCCAGTCGTGAGTCTCTCTGCCACACATACCCCCGGACACAGTGTTCTTAAGAGCGGCACAGGCTTTTCAGTCGCCAAATTATTAATACTGTGTCTACCCAGGTTAAATTGAAAAAGGGAGCAGGGGGATGCTTTGAAGCGTGGCTTTTTTTTCATTCAACTTAGTGAATACGGACAAGGTTTTATAATGGCCCGCGGCAGAGTGGAGTGGTGGTAGCACCGGGCTTTACGCTTTTCATTTGTTTGCGGGCGACAGCTTAGCAGCGGATTAGCAGAGCTAGCCTCCATAATTTCGGTCGATTTAAGGGGAGCCCAGCGAAGAAGCTACCGAGGTGCCTATCCAAAGTGATGACCAGGGATAGCGAGGTGTGAGATTGTTTGTGTTTTGTTTCCATTATCCCTTCCTATAATATTCTGACCATAGATAGACAAGCGCCAAAGCATTTTCTTTCCCCTTGTCATACCCATTGGTCATAAGCCATTGGTGGAACAAGCTCCCTCACGACGCCAGGACAGCGGAGTCACTCACCACCTTCCGGAGACATTTGAAACCCCACCTCTTTAAGGAATACCTGGGATAGGATAAAGGAATCCTTCTACCCCCCCCCCCCAATTGTAAAGTGGTTATCCCACTGGCTATAGGGTGAACGCACCAATTTGTGAGTCGCTCTGGCTAAGAGCGTCTGCTAAATGACGTTAATGTGCCCTTGAGCAAGGCACTTAACCCTAATTGCTCCTGTAAGTCGCTCTGGATAAGAGCGTCTGCTAAATGACTAAAATGTAAAATGTAAATGTATGTAAATAGGGATATTCTCAGACACCCAAATGGCATTAGTAACAGATTTTGTGACAGCACACTTTTTGATGTCACCCTCGTCTTGACTGATATTTTCTAAACGGCCACTCCAATGTAGATGGTGAAATTTCACATTTCTTCATTTGAGAAAATGTCCCTATGAAGTGAGGCAGGGAGAGGGAGAAACCAATATAGAGGGCTCTTTCTGCAGGGCGGACTCATCAGAGAAGTACTGCATGTGGATATCAGTACTGTACTAAAACTGAGCTGACTGGAGAAGATGCAGCGCAGTCTCTACGTATTGCACAGTTATCCCTTTGGTTTCTATCGCGCCCCTGTGCATTTAAATCTACATTTAGACAACAGCCAGTAGCAGAGGCACCCCCGCATCAATGTCTGCCTCTCTCCTGAGATCTCCCTTTTCATTCGCTGAGTATAACAACAGATCATAGCGTGTTTAAAAAGTGACAAGAGTAGTTAGAAGACACTGGATCTGACACTGAGTCAGATACAGTATGTTCTGCTCCCCCTTACTCCCCAATGGTAAAGGTTAGGGTAATCTGATCCTAGATCTATGGTGAGGGACAACATCTTCCTCAATCCATGCGTCAACATATCTCCACAAAAAACGGTTGTGCGTCACAGCCAGACTTGAATAGGGGTTTGATCATGATATCTGGCGCCCTTGTCTGTGAAAACACCATTTATTCCGTGTCACGCCTCAATCATTCCCCATTGTGAGATGACTTTTCCCCTCCCTCTCACCTCCATTGCGAATCTCCATTTGTGTCATCATAGTCCATCACAGCCCACGCAGGGAGAGGCGTTGAGCCGTAATAGATGGCCCCCCGAGCAAACAGCCCAACAGCATATCAATTACCCATCAGGCCCTGTTCAGCCAGATGCCACGATGGAACCACTCCCCAGCGCAGCAGACAATAAAATAACGTGCAAACGCAGATAAATAACGGCACCTTTTCTGTCACTTACAAATTGTGTGTTATAGACCCGGCAGCACACCTGTGTGTGTTTGGTGTGTGTGTGTGTGTGTTTGGTGATTTCCCAGTCGCCTTTGTCAATGGAGGCCCATCTGCCAGCCTGTTGTTGTTGTGGCCTTGTTCATTGCAGGCAACATGTCTCATGTCACTTCTCTATAAACCCTTCAGGTTAATTTGTTCAGTTTCAGTACTGCTGACGATCACACACACAAACACTCACAGCAGAGGTGATTCAGCCACTCCTGGTATTATTGCAGCTGTGTGGCCCCTAATGAGCCACTGAAGTGATAAAATAAAAGGAAAACAGTTCGGCACAGGGACAGATGGAGTCAGATGGAGTCAAACCTCATATCCCATCTTGCTTCTCAGGCTGAGGTGGGATGTCTCACGCCTGCCTAGCCTATCCTATGGTCTCAGCAGCTAACTGGCGAATTTAAGCTACTAAAACCCTAACATGATTTTACATAGAAGAGGACAGAGAAAAACGAACATGTGTAATGGTCATAACAATGATCATGATGATAATGATGTTATCATTTTAATCCTCTTAGGATATCACCACCACTTCTGAGAGCGATTGCTTCTTCTTTATGGTGCAATCGCTCATATGTGTTGTAGTGATGGGGGGAAAAAATCAATACAATTACATATCGCTTTATTATTTCAGACGATGTTATATCGATACTTTGACTCCATGTATCGATTTGTAAAAAATATATTTGTAATTTTGTTTTATTTTTGCTTTGTAGCGTTAGCTAGCGCTAGTCGGCTGTACATGCACTAAAACTCCGATATTTTTCATCCTATAACTTGTTTTCCATCTTCTTTTTAAATAGTGAGCCATGTTTTCAGTACTTTTATTTCCATGGCTGATCAAAACGAATTTTTAAATTTTCTCATGCTCTCTCTTGTCTCTCTGCAGCAGACAGATAGTGAGAAATAGGGAGGTAGCTCAGTTGGTAGAGCATGGCGTTTGCAACGCCAGGGTTGTGGGTTCGTTTCCCACGGGGGGCCAGTGTGAAAATAAAAATGAATAATGTATGCACTAACTGTAAGTCGCTCTGGATAAGAGCGTCTGCTAAATGACGTAAATGTAAATGTAAATGTAAATATGTTTGGAACATCAAATCGCAATAAAATCACAGTATCAAATCACAATACATATAGAATCATGAGAATCGCAATACAAATTGTATCGGCACCTACGTATTGTAACAATATCGTACCGCGAGGTTCCTGGCAATTCCCAGTCCTAATGTGTGTTGCGTGTCCATTGGGCCATGCGTGTACATGTACAATACATTTATTCCTTGTAAAATAGAGGTTTCCTTGAACAGATCAACAATAAATAAATCGATTCATTGCATGGAATTAGATGCTTAATCAAACAATGGCCCCAGATGATGTGGGTACGAGGTGCTGATCATGAGCAAAGTTCCAAAAGAAGGGATTTACAGTTCTTAAAACGGAACTTCTCTGACTCTTGTGACAATAGAAATGTAAAAAGAACAATATCATGTCATGTGAAATTCCATCAACTGTCAACCTCTCATGGCTGTCCACACACGACATAGTCGGACAAAGAAAACACTGTTCCCATCTCCTATTCTCACTCTCTCTTCCCATGTTTTACATTTCTGTCCCTTATTGCCTTTACACTTGACTAGTTGTGCTGAATCGCGAGCACCAATTAGGGCTTAGAAAACCCTCGCATGGCCAATCAGAGCCTTGCCAGAGCTCTTATCAAGAACGGTTCTCATTTACGCAGGATACAAGCCCCGATGTCAAGTGGGTGGTTTTCCAGGGATTAAAAATGTGAGATAGCGATATGTTCTCCACACACTGTCAGACAAGTCTGTGTGGTCATGGCTGTTATGTGGGATAGTTAGTCAAAAGTTATATGATTCTGTAACAGGGGTTAGAAAATCTTCCTCTACTGTCTGTACAGCCTTTTGTTCCAACCTTGTTCTAGTATACCTGTTTCTACTACTAGATGCTCATTAGTACCTTGATTAGCTCAACCTGCATAGCCAGTAGCTCTCCAGAAGGGCAGAGCTGGTTAGAGCTTCTCTTCTCTTTAGGGAGGCGAGCTCAGTCCAATTTCAGCATTAGCATGCCAGCTGCAAAGACCCATGTTGAGCATCAATCATTGCCTGCCTTCTGTTTCTCTGTAATGTTTTGGGAAAAGGTGGCCTCGGTCATTAGAGAAAAATTAGGGGGCAAGGGGCCACGAGATGTATGTCCCGTAAAACATTGAATACACATTATGCACTGTGTGATATGAAACAGCTTGCCTCGACGGATGTGGCTAGGAGCGTTGAATTATATATATGTACAGTACCAGTCAAAAGTTTGGACACACCTGCTCATTCAATGGTTTTTCTTTATTTTTACTATTTTCTACATTGTAGAATAATAGTGAAGACATCAAAACTATGAAATAACACATATGGAATCATGTAGTAACCAAAAAAGTGTTAAACAAATCAAAATATATTTTATATTTGAGATTCTTCAAATAGCCATCCTTTTCCTTGATGACAGCTTTGCACACTCTTGGCATTCTCTCAACCAGCTTCACCTGGTATGCTTTTCCAACAGTCTTGAAGGAGTTCCCACATATGCTTAGCACTTGTTGGCTGCTTTTCCTTCACTCTGCGGTCCGACTCATCCCAAACCATCTCAATTGGGTCAGGGGCTTGTGGAGGCCAGGTCATCTGATGCAGCACTCCATCACTCTCCTTCTTGGTCAAATAGCCCTTACACAGCCTGGAGGTGTGTTGGGTCATTGTCCTGTTGAAAAACAAATGATAGTCCCACTAAGCCCAAACCAGATGGGATGGCGTATCGCTGCAGAATGCTGTGGTAGCCATGCTGGTTAAGTGTGCCTTGAAATCTAAATAAATCACAGACAGTGTCACCAGCAAAGCACACCCACACCATAACATCTCCTCCTCCATGCTTTACGGTGAGAACTACACATGCGGAGATCATCCGTTCACCCACACCGCGTCTCACAAAGACACGGTGGTTGGAACAAGAAATCTCAAATTTGGACTCCAGACCAAAGGACAGATTTCCACCTGTGTGATGTCCGATGCTCGTGTTTCTTGGCCCAAGCACGTCTGTTCTTCTTATTGGTGTTCTTTAGTAGTGGTTTCTTTGCAGCAATTCGACCATGAAGGCATGATTCACACAGTCTCCTCTGATCAGTTGATGTTGAGATGTGTCTGTTATTTGAACTCTGTGAAGCATTTATTTGGGCTGCAATTTCTGAGGCTGGAACTTATCTGTTACAGGAGGGGGTCGCAGTTCCGGAGCGACCCACTAGGTGTCATCCTCCGACAACCGTAGGCACCTCCTCACTCACAGTCTGGACTAATCAGTATCCTATTGGTGTCACCTGTGTCTACCTGTTCACCTGTGTATTTATGCCCTCACTTCCCTGTGTTCCCTTGCTCAGTTTTCTCTGTTAGTTTCTCTATGTCCAGCAGTACTACTCAGTGTCTGATCGGAGACCTATGTGCAGGTACTTGAGAAGTGTTCTCCCTGTCAGCCGGTTTTTGGAGACTTATTTGCTCCGCCTTTCTTTTATCATGATAAGTCTGTTATTTTGTATTCTGGCTTCGGGACCACCAGTAAAGATCCTTGTTTCACCATCTCTGCCTATTGCCTACTGTATATCCTGCACCGCACCTGGGTCACACCTCACTCCAACCCTTACACTTATCCTCTGCAGCAGAGGTAACTCTGGGTCTTCCTTTCCTATGGTGGTCCTCATGAGAGCCGGTTTCATCATAGAGCTTGATGGTTTTTGCGACTGCACTTGAAGAAACTTTAAAGTTCTTGAAATTTCCGGATTGACTGACCTTCATGTCTTAAAATAATGATGGACTGTTGTTTTTCTTTGCTTATTTGAGCTGTTAGGGCTATCTTCTGTATACCAGCCCTACCTTGTCAAAACACAAATGATTGGCTCAACCGCATTAAGAAGGAAAGAAATTCCACAAATTAACTTTTAACAAGGCACACCTGTTAATTGAAATGCATTCCAGGTGACTATCTCGTGAAGCTGGTTGAGGGAATGCAAGAGTGTGCAAAGCTGTCATCAAGACAAAGGGTGGCTACTTTGAAGAATCTCAAATATTAAATATATTTTGATTTGTTTAACACTTTTTTGGTTCCATGTGTGTTTTTTCATAGTTTTGATGTCTTCACTATTATTCTACAATGTAGAAAATAGTAAAAATAAAGAAAAACCCTGGAATGAGTAGGTGTGTCCAAACTTTTCACTGGTACTGTATATACCTGAGTCAATACATGTTAGAATCACCTTTGGCAGCAATTACAGCTGGGCATATGTCTGTAAGAGCATTCCACACCTGGATTGTGCAACATTTTCACATTATTATTTTCAGAATTCTTCAAGCTCTGTCAAATTGGTTGTTGATCTTTGCTAGACAACTATTTTCACAGAGATTTAAGTCAAAACTGTAACTTAGCCACTCAGGAACATTCACTGTCTTCTTGGTAAGCAACTCCAGTGTAGATTTGGCCTTGTGTTATAGGTTATTGTCGTGCTGAAAGGTGAATTAATCTCCCAGTTTCTGAAGGAAAGCAGACTGAACCAGGTATTCCTCTAGGATTTTGCCTGTGCTTAGCTCCATTCCATTTATTTTTCATCCTGAAACACTCCCCAGTCCTTAACAATTACAAGCATACTCAGTCATGATACAGCCACCACTATGCTTGAAAATATGGAGAGTGGTACTCAGTAATGTGTTGTGTTCGATTTGCCCCAAACATAACACATTGTATTCAGGACAAAAAGTTAATTGCTTTGCCACATTTTTTGGATTATTACTTTGGTGCCTTGTTGCAAACAGGGTGCATGTTATTCTGTACAGGCTTCCTTCTTTTCACTCTGTCAATTAGGTTAATATTGTGGAGTAATTACAATGTTGTTGAACCATCCTCAGTTTTCGCTTGTCACATGCATTAAACTATGTAACCGTTTTAAAGTCACCATTGACCTCATGGTGAAATCCCTGAGCGATGTCCTTCCTCTCTGGCAACTGAGTTAGGAAGGATGACTGTATCTTTGTAGTGACTTGGTGTATTGATACACCATTCAAAGTGTCATTAATAACTTTGCCATGCTCAAAGGGATATTCAATGTGTGTTTTTTTTTTTAGGTGCCCTTCTTTGCGAGGCATTGAAAACCTCCCTGGTCTTTGTGGTTACATCTGTGTTTGAAATTCATTGTACAGATATCAGGTAGTCATTCAAAAAACATGTTAAACACAGAGTGAGTCCATGCAACTTATTATACAAGTCCATGCAACTTAATAAGTGACTTGTTAAGCACATTTTTACTCCTGAACTTATTTAGGCTTCCCATAACAAAGGGGTTGAATACTTATTGACTCAAGACATTTCAGCTTTTCGTTTTTAATTCATTTGTAAAAATTTCGAAAAACATAATTCCACTTTGACATTATGGGGTATTATGTGTAGGCCAGTCTAAAAAATCTAAATTTAATACATTTTAAATTCAGGCTGTAACACAACAAAATGTGGAAAAAGTCAAGGGGTGTGAATACTTTCTGAAGGCTGTCAAAGGCTGATGTCGATGTGTGGTGGGAGTCAGGCGCAGGACACAGAGGCTCAGTCAAAACGACTTTACTGGACTGAGAAAACAAACACTCAATACAAAAATAAAGACCTCGACACAGGAGGTAAAACGAACACGCAAACCATGCGTAACAAGAATAATCCGATCAAGGAAAACCAAACTGACAACACCAGACAGGCGGACAATTACACACAAATACCCACAAACAAAACGATAAACTTATAGGGGACATAATGAACCCTAACTAGACACAGGTGTACAAATAAGACAAAACCAAACAAACATCGATAACATTCAACGGTGGCAGCTAGTACTCCGGGGACGACGAACGCCGAAGCCTGCCCGAGCAAGGAGGAGGAGCAGTCTCGGCCGAATTCGTGACAAAGGCAGTGTAATTATAAGTTTTGTTTATTTTTAAACATCTTACGGCTAACGTACAGTCACGTCAAACAGTGCAGCCAGAATAACAGCATAGTAGCTGTTTTTGCTTTTGTTTAAGCTGTTTTCTAGTGACATTTGGATACATCCATAACAATGAGCTAATGATGTGCAATTTCGCCTGGCATAGAAAATGTGCTCTCTCATCAGGACAATTTTGTTCAGAGGAGCTAGCCAACAACACAGCTAATACAATCCCTTCAAACTGAAGCTGGAAAGACAGCAAACTAGCTACATTTGGTTTTGTTTTACCTGTTTTCTATTGACATTTCTTTGTACATATCCATAAAAATTATGCCTGCTGATTCCTGATTTCGACTGGCTGAGAAAAGCTGCCTGCCTGTCTGTCTCGTCCCGACTCTCAGCATTGCTATGGGACAGCTGTAGATCGAATTTCAATATTGAAACAATGTTGCAAATGGTGGAGAGACAGACAGCAAGGTTTATACAAATATCTGTCTGTTGAAAATCAAATGCTAGTCTAAAAGAAATGGGAGATAATGTCTAGATGCTTTTTATAGTGTAGATAAAGTTTATAAATTGTCAATAGAGTCAATAGACATTTCAACGTCATAGCTTTAGCCGGTGGTAACTTGTGTAACAGACACCGGCTGGAATGCGATTTTAACCAATTAGCATCCAGGATTAGACCCACCCGTTGTATAATAAATTGTGTGGACTCACTCTGTGTTTAACATGATTTTTGAATGACTACCACATATCTGTACAGTGAATTTCAAACACAGATGCAACCACAAAGACCAAGAGATTTTTTAATGCTTCGCAACGAAGGGCACCTATTGGTAGATGGGTAGAAACAAACAAAAAACAGACATTGAATATCCAATGTTATTAATGACACTTTGGATGGTATATCAATACACCTAGTCACTACAAATATACAGGCATCCTTCCTAACTCCGTTGCCAGAGAGGAAGGAAATCGCTCAGGGATTTCACCATGAGGTCAATGGTGACTTTAAAACGGTTACATAGTTTAATGCATGTGACAAGCGAAAACTGAGGATGGTTCAACAACATTGTAATTACTCCACAATATTAACCTAATTGACAGAGTGAAAGAATGAAACCTGTATATAATAACATGCATCCGGTTTGCAACAAGGCACTAAAGTAATACTGCAATAAATGTCCTGAATACAAAGTGTTATGTTTGGGGCAAATCCAATACAACACATTTTTTATTTATTTATTTATTTATTTCACCTTTATTTAACCAGGTAAGCCAGTTCAGAACAAGTTCTCATTTGCAACTGCGACCTTGCCAAGATAAAGCAAAACAGTGCGATAAAAACAACAACACAGAGTTACATATGGGGTAAAACAAAACATAAAGTCAAAAATACCACAGAAAATATATATACAGTGTGTGCAAATGTAGCAAGTTATGGAGGTAAGGCAATAAATAGGCCATAGTGCAAAATAATTACAATTAGTATTAACACTGGAATGATAGATGTGCAAATAGAGATGCTGGGGTGCAAATGAGCAAAATAAATAACAATATGGGGATGAGGTAATTGAGTGGGCTAATTTCAGAAGGGCTGTGTACAGGTGCAGTGATCGGTAAGGTGCTCTGACAACTGATGCTTAAAGTTAGTGAGGAGATAAGAGTCTCCAGCTTCAGAGATTTTTGCAGTTCGTTCCAGTCATTGGCTGCAGAGAACTGGAAGGAATGGCGGCCAAAGGAGGTGTTGGCTTTGGGGATGACCAGTGAGATATACCTGCTGGAGTGCATACTACGGGTGGGTGTTTCTATGGTGACCAATGAGCGGAGATTTGCCTAGCAGTGATTTATAGATGGCCACATTACTGTGTACCACTCTCCATATTTTCAAGCATAGTGGTGGCTGCATCATGTTATGGGTATGCTTGTAATTGTTAAGGACTGGGGAGTTTTTCAGGATAAAAAAGAAACGGAAATGGAGCTAAGCACAGGCAAAATCCTAGAGGAAAACCTGGTTCAGTCTGCTTTCCACCAGACCTTGGGAGATTAATTCACCTTTCAGCTGGACAATAACCTAAAACGTGAGGCCAAATCTACACTGGAGTTGCTTACCAAGAAGACAGTGAATGTTCCTGAGTGGCTGAGTTACAGTTTTGACTTAAATCTGCATGAAAATCTATGGCAAGACCTGAAAATAGTTGTCTAGCAATGATCAAAAACCAATTTGTCAGAGCTTGAAGAATTTTGAAAAGAATAATGGGCAAATGTTGCACAATCCAGGTGATTAGAGACTTAACCAGAAAGACTCACAGCTGTAATCGCTGTCAAAGGTGGTTCTAACATGTAGTGCCTAAACTGTATTGTACCCTAAACTGATGACTTGATTTACAACACTACTGTTTATTTACTACAATGATTATATATGTATTCCTACTTCTCTTGATTGCATCCTTATACAAGTACCTAATCTTATGTTTCCACTCACATTGAGAAGGCAATGCAGTCTCCAAACGGAGTCTGGCTTGACCTCCAAAGACAATCCTCTTAGTGATAACATGCAAGTGCTGAAATCTGCAACTTTGTGACTTTCTGGTGTGGGTGCGTTCATAAGGAAGATAAATCACTTGCTCTCTGCAACGCTTAGCACCCTCGCTAACTATTTATGTCCTCTCTCTCTCTCTCTCTCCCTCCCTCTCGCTCCAGCACCACCAAAGTTTTTGAGAACCCCCAATGACCAAACGGGCGTGCAAGGAGGTGTGGCATCATTCATCTGCCAAGCGACGGGAGACCCACGCCCCAAGATCGTTTGGAACAAGAAGGGGAAGAAAGTCAGCAACCAGAGATTTGAGGTATTAGGTCTATTGTTCTGATGTAAAATGCTCGACAAAAATGGGAATGCTCAACAGTGCTTTTGGTACCCCATCCCCCCCTCCCGTCCCCCTCCAACCCCTAACACATAATCCATCCCCCCGCTCTCCAAAATCACACGCCCGCCTTTGCCACCACGCATGAGCAGGCTTTAAAAATCAAGCTGTCCCAGCCATCTAACATGCATGAGTTTTAATGAGCAAGTACACAGCGATCTGGGACATATTTGTAATTAAAGAAATACAGAAAGAAAGATGGGGAGTGAAAGAAAGATAAGGGGGAAGAAATGGTGACCCATATACCTATATTAGCATCATGCTGCATTTGGCTGCCTTATGCAAAACGAGAGAGTAGTAGCTCTGTGGTTCAAAGGTCTTTTGCTTCATGGCGTCTTTATCTAAATGCATGTCCCCCGCGCTGTTTTGTTTGGCTGCAAGCTTTGATTTGTCCTTCTTTTTAATCGCCATGACAAATAACACATCATCTCCAAACACTGATAAGATTTCTATAACTGTCTGTGTCATTCCTTTTCGGAGTGTATCATAGTGTGATATGAACAAACACCTTCCTCTCTCCGTGCCATGCTTCTACTCAGCAGTAATGGCTTATCTGGGTTTGGAGAGTCTTTGGCGTCTCACACATCGGGCAGGAATCGAATCTTATCACAGTTCATCAAATTTGTGCCGCTGCACGTGGTGAATGCTAACGCGCTAGCTCGCTAACTCTCCCATTGCCGCCGTGAGGCTTGCTTGCCACTGCCGCCGCCCTTATTCCCCCACTCACTCACGCGGCCGCCTCCTCATCCCTAACAAAGGTAATTTCCCTTTACAGAAACACTGAGACTTTTTCAACCCCATTTTCTTTCTCTTTGAGTTTGAAATGGGAAAGGGAGCACTTTTACTTACCATCATCACGCGCTCTTGCAATGATTGCCCAAATGTGCCCTTGTCGCTTGGCCACTGAACCGTCAAGGTGTTTTGTTCAACTAACATGTGAAATGATATGCTCTGAACTGTATCAATGAGTGTCGGGGCCGGCCTTTCTCCGTGTGTGTTTGTGCACGTGTGTGTATGAAGCAGAGGTTCTTAACAGTCAACTCTTTTTTTTAAAACCTACCAAAGATTGCTTAAAAATGAGTTATGATACAGGGCTTTCTAAAAACAGTGAGTATACAGCATGGAACGATAGCTGTAAAAGCTACAAAACACCCGTTTGTAAACATTTTATGTGTCGTCTGTCCAAAACAATTGGTCATGTCTTTTTGTACTACTATCACGTCATGGTGATGACAATTGTTCGTTACTGTTTATCAAACCACGTATAATTGTTTGTTATTGTTCTGTCCCATTGAAATATATAAGTAGTGTGTTAACTTTAAGAGTGGGGCGAACCAAAATGTACATCAAATATAAAACACACATAAAAATCCAAATTATTTGTTCTGGCTGGCCAATAAATACTTTCCCATTCTTAAAGTTAGTTGGCCACTTTGATTATCTTTCCAATAATTAATACACAAGATCAACTTATATTTTGGATCCAAAGTTGATGTCAGAGAGCTGTGAGCCATCTTTGAACTTACAATACATGGCCAAAGGTATCCTTCAAATTAGTAGATTTGGCTATTTCCGTCACACCCATTGCTGACAGGTTATTAACAGTAGAATGGCCCATACTGAAGAGCTCAATGAATTTAAACGTGGCACCGTCATAGGATGGCACCTTTCCAACAAGTCAATTAGTCACATTTCTGCTAGAGCTGCCCTGGTCAACTGTAAGTGCTGTTATTGTGAAGTGGAAACATCTATGAGCAACAACGGCTCAGCCGCAAAGTGTTAGGCCACACAAGTTCACAGAACGGGAACGCCGAGTGCTGAAGCGCGTAGAGCGTAAAAATCGTCAGTCCTCAGTTGCAACACTCACTACCGAGTTCCAAACTGCCTCTGGAAGCAACGTCAGCACAATAACTGTTCATCGGGAGCTTCATGAAATGGGTTTCCATGGCCGAGCAGCCGCACACAAGCCTAAGATCACCATACGCAATGCCAAGCGTCGGCTGGAGTGGTGTAAAGTTTGCCACCATTGGACTCTGGAGCAGTGCAAACGCGTTCTCTGGAGTGATGAATCACGCTTCACCATCTGGACCAATCTGGGTTTGACGGATGCCAGGAGAACGCTACCTGCCCGAATGCATAGTGCCAACTGTAAAGTTTGGTGGAGGAGGAATAATGGTCTGGGGCTGTTTTTCATGTTTCGGGCTAGGCCCCTTAGTTCCAGTGAAGGGAAATCTTAATGCTACAGCATACAATTACATTCTAGACTATTCTGTGCTTGCACCTTTGTGGCAACAGTTTGGGGAAGGCCCTTTCCTGATTCAGCATGACAATGCCCCTGTGCACAAAGCGAGGTCGATACAGAAATGGTTTGTCGACTGCACAGAGCCCTGACCTCAACCCCATCGAACACCTTTGGGATGAATTGGAAAACCGACTGCGAGCCAGGCTTAATCGCCCAACATCAGTGCCCGACCTCACTAATGCTCATGTGGCTGAATGGAAGCAAGAGTCCACATACTTTTGGCCATGTCGTGTATATTATGTTTAATCTTCCAGTACATCACTAGATAAGAATAACATGGATATAACTAATAATGGCTCTCTGAACACAACTGCTCTGGTAATAACTATACCAGTGGGTAGCCAATCATAAGCACAAACAACAGCATAACTAGCCATACAAAACATGCTCAAGAGTCACAATGATGTCATTATCTACATGCTACAGATATGGTATCTTTTCCTCAAACACATACAATGCGATACACACGTGGGTTCTATATCCATTGCTTGAAAATCCATCCTCTCCTTGTCTCCTCCCCTTCACCTGTTCTTAATTGAAAGACATAACAGGGGAAACAATTTGGTGGAAGCTTGTTCAGGCTGGCTTTCACCTGGACACATCTTTCAGGGGAAGAGGAGAAGGGTGGATGGACTGTTTAGACAATTGAGAAAAGAGCGATATACTCCCAAACACTCACTCAAATAAGGAGCTGATGTTAGGGTATACTAGCCATTGCAGCTTTCATAGTTTTCTGATGGGAAGCACAGTGTGTTTGTCACCATCAGTTTTGTAGGCCAAATGTGTTTATACTCTGCTGCAGGAGCGGTTGTAATTACTCTGCGCAAACTTCCGTCACCGATTGTGAACAAAAAAACTCCTTTAACATATCTTGTTTCTCGCACCTGCAGGTGATTGATTTCGATGACGGCTCTGGCTCGGTGTTGAGAATTCAGCCCTTGCGTACGCCCCGAGACGAAGCCATATATGAGTGTGTCGCCTCCAACACTGTTGGAGAGCTGACTGCATCTACGAGACTCACTGTTTTACGTGGTAGGTGCTGCTTTCTCCACAACCGAAATGCTAACTCCTCTTCCTTTAACTCTCAGTTTCCTCAACTAACCAGGTAAGCTAGACTTTCTTTGTGTCTCTGTCTGTCTGTCTGTCTGTCCTCTTTGTTTTCTTTTTCTCACACTTTATTGTACACGTAGTTTAATCTCAGGTTTGCCACAGTATTCCACTCATGTTGAATTTACTGACTTAATTGATCTTATTCCATTAGCGATATAGCCAAATACGGATTTTCTAAGTCAATTAACACATTTTCATAGAGTTTCCTGACACGATAATGAAGATGCTGGTTGAGTTATGCGAAGTCGTTTTCTATTTCTGGCTCTTGGTGTTCTAATAGAAAGCTGAGTACTATTCAATTCAGATTTCATTTTACTTATCTGCTCCTGCTTTAATATTCACTTAACTGGAGAGAAAGGTATGACTCTTTGAATCAGGTTTAAAACTGATGAAACAACAGATATGGCTCAAATATATGTAGCTAATTTCATCAAATTTTTCATGAAATATCATACTTTAGATTTTCTAATAGTTTTACTGTAACCTAAATAAATGAGATTCCTATTTTTGGTTGTAACTTTGTAATACTTACAGTTACTTGAGATAAGGATGTGCAAATTCATGTTTGTTTACTTTGAATACTGACAGCAAAAATTGCTCCCAAATCTAAAGTTATCTGCTGATACCACAATCATAACCACTACCACATACTGTACATATAAAAAGCAAATGTATATCTTGATTACACACAACATCCTATTCAAACGTAAATTCTCACTAGCCCCGGACTCAAAAATACATTGTACTTGTAGACCTATCTCTCTAAAGCAGAGACTTGCTATGCTCTGAATGGAGAAATGGCTCTAAAATGCCTTGGCACTCTGAATGAGGTGTGCTCCATTATCCCCCACAATTACACAACAGCTCTCCACCAATAGAAAAGTGCCGGCTCTGTATATTCTCTCTGAAGCGCCTTGTCCTCTCTTCCTTATCACCACCACCGAGACGAACAAAAAGCCCCTGGCATGGTCCCCAGGGGCCCATTGAAAAGGAAAGGTGGCAGATTCTCAGCAGCCTCTCCCCTGTTTACACTATGTCTGCGTGTGTGTGTGTTTATGTATGTGTGTAGAAACACAATAACATGTACACATGCACACGCACACGCACACGCACACACACACACACACACACACACACACACACACACACACACACACACACACACACACACACACACAGACAGACAGACAGACAGAGAGAGACCGGTGAAGGAAATGAGTGTCACTGCATCTGCTTCACTGAACCTGTGCCTCTCAGCTCCAATGCCAAGGCATTAGCATGTATATTACCATTCCATTTCACTTTGTCCCTAGCTATACCTACCCCTCCTTGTATCCCATCACCGGTTTGAAGGTGAGCGATGCCGCATCTGCCGCAGCAAAAAGCCCTTCCTGTGTTGCAGTAAAGTGACGCTCTCTGGTCAAGGCAGATGAGAGTATCGCTCTCTCACTCACTCATGCAGAGACCCAGGTATACACACACTTTCACATCCCCATCTATACAAATCCTCAACAGACCTGCCAATTTCTACCTGAATGAGAATATTCACCCCAAACTTGTTTTGGGGGGTGCTTTACACCTTTTCTCTAGAATGTCTATGACCAGCACAACCAGCCAAATTCAAACATTGTCGAAGTTGTGTTTCACAACGCAACTTCTTTTGGAGGCCTCATGTCTTATTCATGTAGTCTACTGAGCTGGGATGCAAGGATGAGCTTTTACCTTAGGGGGCAGGGTGGTGGGTATAGTTTGAGGACAGTGTAAGGCTAGTGTACTTTTACAAGGTTAAAGAACAATACATAATACATAACACAAAAAGCCATAGAGATACCATTTTCTTTCTGCCTTGTTCCAAAAATACTCTACGTATCTCTGACATGGTTCTGGATCTCCCTTGGAGAATACAGTATGTCTGTATTTGCACGGTAAGATTTATTTGGGAAATTCCTCTGCCAGGTACTTTATTTGGGGCTTGATACCACCAAAAATTCAAATCTGAGTACAATCTGTCGGCGTAGCTAGGATCTTTAGAGATTCTCTATCCCACCTTGTATACCTCTTGTCGAGACGCTACAGCCACACACAGCCGCAATAGATACATAGATACATAAACTAATCACCAGATGAAGACAGTACTAATCCAGTGATACATATAAAGTGACTGTTCATTTAGTTCATTTGAGCTCCAGTGGCCTGTGCTAGGAGATTGGTTAGCAGCTGTTTCTGGTAGCTTGCTCCAGGAGGAGATAATGGCTAATTCCATAAAGGGGGAAAAGTAACATTGTTGTAATTGCCACAGTCATGAAGCATCAGCGCTGTGAGGTGAAGGATCCAGTGGCAGAGATATTAGCATTTGGATGGGGTGCGGACTTGATGGGAAATGCTATTAGCAATGAACTTCCCGGGCTTAAAGAGAGAAAGTAATTTGCATGAAAGGCGAACCGCTAGCATAATGATGTTCGTACCCGGAATCTACTTGTCCAATGAATGAGGGGCCTAGTTTGCATATTGTACTTTTTTCCCCTTCAATCTCTTTCTCCCTCTGTTTTGATTAATTCAGAGATGACTTAAGTCATATGCGATATGGGTGTTTGAATTAAGGTTGTCTGATTTGAAATTGGAATTGGGAAAGGGTAGGAGATGAAGGGTGATAAATGATTTAAAGAGAAGCAGATCAAATGGGGCAGGAGTCATAGTGTAGTTTTGATACCATGTATAGTATAGAGTACCACAGTATGAGTCATAATACCCATAAAACCTAGCGGTCAAACAGGGAAATGGTTCCAATTGTTTTTCCTCCATTCATTTTTCCCATCAGGGATTTTAGAGTCACTTAAAATAAATGCTGTGTTTCGTGTAGGCTTACCCAGGTGTGACGTTTTGAAGACTGTGTAAATCTCTCTAGGACAATGTGACTTTTATCAATATTATTTGCCTGTATTTACAGCAGGACATTTTGCATATTCCCCCAGGACATAACAGCACGTAATAAGACATAGATCCTCAAAAATGTTTAGTTGATTGCACCAGCCAATATGTCAGCCAAGTCTCCATACTCTATAGATGGAGAACCATACGTTTGTCATTCTAATCTATATCCATTACATGTCAGCTGGAGCAATTAGCTATAGTTTCAATAGTGGGGAATTCAATTAAAATAATTGCCTTCCCACGTAGGCACCCAAACAAAAGCACATACCTCATTTTACTTAGGCAGCACAATCGTATGCTATTATCACGTGGTAAGGCTGTGTCAATTTTCTTCACTGCAGATTCAGTCGTGAATAAGGAAGTTAAGGTATCCATATATTCCCATTTTACTGTGAACAGCCATTTCTCTCGCTATCCTCACATACAGAGTTGTGCTGATGTGCTCAACTTGATAGTAAGAGTGGAAAATAGAAAGTCTCTCTACTGTGACGGAAAAAAGCCATAAACAAAATCCATAATTTCCGTTTGTAAGGAGTGGTGCAGGGTGCTCTCGCTCTCGCTCTGTAAAAGTGACCACGTAGGATTCTCTTTTCACCCATAGCCAGAAGAAGCCTATAGTCTATAGCTTAGGTTGCATGCTTAACTTTCTACACTTTGCAGTCTTCTGACACTCAAGAAGAGTATAGTTTGAATAGTGCATATTCATAATAAGGAATGAGAAAATTCCTCAGAAAACAAAGGCTGAGTTTAAACAATTATTGGCAAACGATCTGATCTGATTGGTCAAAAGACCAATAGTGGAAAAATATCAGAAATTGCCTGTGTAAACGCAGCCTAAGTGTATGAAGGAATGAAGTACTTCTGCTTCTGTATAGAGAGGAGGAATATAATATAGTTCCACCCACATAAACCAATAAGAATGTCCATTAAAAAGTGATTTGTGTGTTGGTACTGTGTGTATTTGTACGTCTTACTGGCATAAATTCACAGCAGTGATAAACTTAAACCAATGTTCCCAGTCTGAAGTTCAGAGTCCTATTCTTTAATATCTATTCTTTATTGTATCATTCCCTCGAGTTGCAGTGCCCAGACTATGCTTGCTTTTTAAATCCAACAAGGAACAGAATATGTCTAGATCAAGAATATTCATAAGCACCACACAGACATATCACCATTTTCTTTTACTCCTCTTCACCATACTGCATTGCATGGATTTGCATTTCAAGTCCTTTAGGAACTACTTTTCTGTGTCATGATGTAGGGTCTTAATACTAATTATTCACATTACTTTGTTTCTTTACTCTGTACTCTACTCTGTATCTCAGGTTGTACTTCAAACAAGCACAGCCTGAAAGAAAAAACAAAACATTGACAGAGCGCTCAAATTGCTTGTGAAGCAAATAGCTGGCTCAGCTGTCTTGGACTGCCAGAGCAAGGCATGCAGTGAGGGCGAAGCAGGTGGCTATTGTAAAATTGCAGAGCCTGGGATCGCTATGCTTGCAAAAGGCAATGCAGGAGGTTAACAAGGCAGCATAGGGGGCCAGGAGCGAGAACACTATTCTGTTTGGTTCACCGGCAAGTTCTGTAGACGCCAAGACCCAGGCCACAATTTAGAAGACTCGGAACACTCAATTGTGCCGCAGAAGTACTTTTTTCAATAAATAGGGGCTTTCAAAATCCCGCTGACTTCAACCCAGGTGAACTCCTTTTGAGGGGAAGAATACGGAAGAATTATGAAGTGACCGAGACAGCAGTTTTAAGTGTAGCAGAAGTTCTGTAACCTTATTTGTGCATGGGTGAAAAAATAACCCCCATCATCCCATACTCTTGTCTGAGATGTTTGACCCATTCATAGTTTCCTAAATCAGCAGAATTGTACATTTCTTTCTGGTTTCCGGGCAGTTGAGGAACAGGTGGAGCGTGGCAGTTGGTTATTTCCATGAGGGCAAAAAGTAGTCATTTGTAGGGAAATTCCATCAGGCCTAATTGAACAGACACAGATTATTTAGATTTCCCATTTTGGATTTTCATTACACCCTCTTCTAAACTCATCCGTAGACTG